TTACGCCCCTTCACGTAGAATGGGTGAAACTCCAATGTATTAAAAAAATCAAAAGTGTTGGAGGAATATATGTTCGCTTTCCTCAGCTGAATTTAGGAGTTTACGTATGAATTGGGGTAGAAGTGTACAGAAATCACGAGAGTTTTTCCGAAATTTCCTCAGAATTTTCATATTGTCACCAACACATGTAGTTGACCATGTGCGAATTTCCCCAGGACTATCACAGCACTAGTCACTTTTTTTATGCGTATTTGATTTCGAACCGCGCGCGCCTTGTGTGTGATCAGTTGAACTGGGGAGAAGAATACGCGTGGAAAAATGAGGATAAAAAATTTCACCGGAAAAATTGGGAAGAAGAAGTATGTGTCAAATTGAATTTTCTGAATTTTATGCTACTTTTCGGTGGAAATTTTGTATTTTTTTTTCGTCATCAGGTAAACGAATTGGAGGATAAATTCTCAGCACATGTTGGTCCGTTAGTTGAGGGAGCATGCGGGACGACGGGGTGAGTGGGAATGCGATTGGGATTTGGTGATATTCACGTGAATTTAGTGATCTTCATGTGAATTTGGTGATATTTATGTGAATTTGGTGATATCTATGTTAATTTGGTTATGATTTCTGGATTGATTAGAAATATTTACAAACCTTGAGTTATAGGATTGGGTGCGAACTTGAAAGAAAAAATGAAAAAAAAATAAAAATGAAAAAAATTAGGGAAAAAATAATTTTTCCAGCAAAGAAATATTTATTGTGGGAATCCACTTCGTTAGCGACAAACTCAATTTTTTGTATTGATTTAAATTTTCTTCGATGACTTTTTTATTGTAAATTTTTACTTCACACCGGCAACAGCGAATTTGGAGTTTCACTCGCTGCTCTTACACATGTTTTGAAAATTTTTCTGCGGAAATTTATAGCATTTTTCGACAAGGAGAATTTTTTGTTTTGCGATTTGGTTGATGTATTCAGAGCACACGCAGGATCGTCGGGAAGTCACGGCGTGTTGTTGAGCGCGTTAAGTTTGATTGATTATCTGCTAAAAGTAAGGAGGAATGTTTCTGCCAGTGTGGAGGGAATATGCACATGGTCAACCACATGTGTTGGTGACAATATGAAAATTCTGGGGAAATTATTGTTAGTTTCTTTGCATGTATGTTGAATATTCTCCCAATCTGAATGATATGTGAAGAAAGTATTGAGCTTAGGTGAGGAAAGCAACATTTTTTTTCAGCACTGGCTTTTGTTGATTCGAAAGCACGGGAGTTTTACGCGTTTTACGCGAAGTGACGTAACACTCCGTGTGAACAACGCGATATGAAGTGAATTGAAAATACTTGGCGAATAACACCGGACAAATCACCCCACATCACGTGAAACACATCACGTGTTTTACGCGTTATTCACTGTTCACATGCGTTTTTTTTCACGAAGTGAAATGCGAAAAATGCCTCTTAATAGTGCTTTTTATATCCCGAGTGAAACTTCATTATATAACATAAGAAAGGTTTTACGATCTTTGTCAGGAGTGGTAGAAATATTATAATAATCGTGGAAAAATAAGATTGCATTTTGAAAACTCATCGGAGTTTCACTCTAGTGATATGAAAAACCATATTTCACGACTACTGCATATCACCGCGAATATCGCGTTTTTCACCGAGTTTTACGCCACTTTATGCAAAACGAGTCGTGAAACTCCATGAAGGTTTGCAATTAATTTGCGGTGTTTTTTATGGAAATAACTTTTCTTCAGACCAATCCGGAAGTTTATCGTCAAGAGCTCGCATACGTTCAACCTACTTTGGTGAAGTTGCTGAGGTCGCTCACTATCAGCGGTTATGGCAATTCGCAGGAGTACGATGCTGGTGGAATTACTGATCCGTTTTTGCAGGTAGGGGGCCGCGAGAGTTTTACGTGAGATGTGATTATTTGGCTGGTGTAATTCGCAAAGTGTTTTTAATTCATATCACTAGGGTAAAACTCCAGTGCGTTATACGGCAGAGAATTCGATAAGTAGGAGAGTGCCTCCTAGAAATCGCTCATTAGTCCCAAACGGGTACTCTCATCATCATCACAACACATGTTCATAGCCATCGTTACATTGCACATCGATTCTCATTAATCTCGGAAAATAACACACATTTTGCATAACAAATTGACACGCACTGTTTATGTGGGAGTGGACTGGAATGGTCGGTGTGACAGGTAAATGACAAAATTGAAAATGAGTGACAAAAACAGAATTTTTGTGTAGCAGATAGGAAAATAAATATGCAAATGTGTGTTATGTTGTAGGATAAATGATAGTGCACAAGTTGTCGCTATCATCACAGTCCCAAACGGGTATTCTCATCATCACAACACATGTTCATAGCCATCGTTACATTGCAAATCGATTCTCATTAATCTCGGAAAATAACACACATTTGCATATCAAGTTGACACGCACTGTAGTAGGAATACTTTTATAATAGAAAATTCTTGTCAGTCCGAAAGGAGAGGCTAGCGTAGTTGGTCACGTTGGGAAATGTGGATGAATTTTCAGATAAATTTTCAAGTTTTTCTCGATCAGGTGAAGATCCTTCGTACGCTGCGTTTGTTGACGAATTTGAACCAACCACTACCGGAAGATGTGAGTGATGTTTTAGCGCAAGTAGCGACAAATACAGAAGCTGTGAAGAATGCGGGCAATGCCGTGCTGTAAGTGGAAGGCTCGAAATGGGCCTATTTTGAATCTTATGTGGTCAACCTTTAGATACGAGTGTGTGCGTACGATAGTGTACGTTGGACCGGTGGCGGATCCTTCTTTGAGGGTCCTTGGTATTAACATTTTGGGAAGATTTCTCACGCATAAGGATAATAACGTGAAGTAAGTGGCAAATACAGTGTGTGTTAATTTGATATGCAAATGTGATGTGAGATTGATGAGAATCGATTTGCAATGTAACGATGGCTATGAACATGTATTGTTATGAGAGTACCCGTTTGGGACTGTGATGATAGCGACAACTTGTTCACTATCATTTGTCACACATTTGCATATCAGATTGACACCTACTGTATAGTGGGGTTTCACCCATGTTATGAAAAACACTAGTGAAAAAATCACATCCCCCTTTGCAAAAATATATGTAAGTAGTGAATTTTCAATTCACTCTGAGTCGCACCTTTCACATAGAGTATTACACCACTTCACGTAAAACGGGTGAAACTCCAGTGTTGGAGTAGGAATATATGTAATCGCTTTCCTCAGCTGAGCTCAGGAGTTTCCTATACAGTGTTGGAGTAGGAATATATGTAATCGCTTTCCTCAGCTACTGAGCTCAGGAGTTTCCTATACAGTGTTGGAGTAGGAGTATATGTAATCGCTTTCCTCACCTGAGCTCAGGAGTTTCCTATACAGTGTTGGAGTAGAAGTATATGTAATCGCTTTCCTCACCTGAGCTCAGGAGTTTCCTATACAGTGTTGGAGTAGGAATATATGTAATCGCTTTCCTCAGCTGAGCTCAGGAGTTTCCTATACAGTGTTGGAGTAGGAGTATATGTAATCGCTTTCCTCACCGCCTGAGCTCAGGAGTTTCCTATACAGTGTTGGAGTAGGAGTATATGTAATCGCTTTCCTCACCTGAGCTCAGCAGGAGTTTCCTATACAGTGTTGGAGTAGGAATATATGTAATCGCTTTCCTCACCTGAGCTCAGGAGTTTCCTATACAGTGTTGGAGTAGGAATATATGTAATCGCTTTCCTCAGCTGAGCTCAGGAGTTTCCTATACAGTGTTGGAGTAGGAATATATGTAATCGCTTTCCTCAGCACCTGAGCTCAGGAGTTTCCTATACAGTGTTGGAGTAGGAATATATGTAATCGCTTTCCTCAGCTGAGCTCAGCAGTTTCCTATACAGTGTTGGAGTAGGAGTATATGTAATCGCTTTCCTCAGCACCTGAGCTCAGGAGTTTCCTATACAGTGTTGGAGTAGGAGTATATGTAATCGCTTTCCTCACCTGAGCTCAGCAGGAGTTATTTCACCAGTTTAAGGAGTTTATACACGAATTCGGGTAGAAGTGTACAGAAACTAATGAGAATTTTTCAAAAATTTCCGATCAGAATTCTCATATTGTCATCAACCGTTTTTATATCTAGCCGAGGCGATCTTAGATATCGAAATGTTGAACCACTTGAATTCGCATATACTGGCTATTGTGGAGTTCCACCCGTGATATGAAAAACACATTGCATATCGCGAATATCGCGTTTTTTTCACAGAGTATTGATGTCGATTCGAAACGTGGAGTTCCTTTTCCCATGGCTCTTGATATGAATTGGAGTTTTACGTGAAGTGGTGTAAAACTCGGTGAGAAACGCGATTTTCGCGGTGATATGCAGTAGTCGTGAAATATAGTTTTCACTAGTGTTTTTCACATCACTAGGGTGAAACGCCATTGTGGTGATCGAAATTCCTCTAACAAGTATTACGTATTCCTACGTTCATCAGTATTCATGGCGGATTTTTCAGATACGTCGCTTTGGAAGCTCTGAAGGGTTTGGTATCAGTTGATATTGGCGCGGTAAGTGTCAGGAGCAGGAATTGAACCCGGGACCTTTCGGTTGGCGTAGGTCCAGGAACACCGGTCGGTCATTTTGAGCTGTCTCACCGACCCGGATATCAGCTTACGAAGAAGGGCTTTGGATGTGGCTTATAGTCTTATTAATGAGGATAATGTGAAGGTGCGTTGAGGAAATGCAAGATTTGGTAAGATTTCAAGATTTTGGTGATGTTAGCAAATGACGAATGAGTTTTTGAACTATCTCATTGTTACCGACGCTGATTTCCGGGCTGACCTCGTATCTTGTATATGCAATATGGCGAGGAAATATGCCCCCAGTAGGAGGTGGCAAATTGATACTCTTATCAAGGTGGGTTGGGCCGGTTGTTGACGGTTTCATGTTTGATTACACTGAAGTTTCACCCTAGTGATATTAGAAACATATTTCACATTTCACTTGGTGAAAAACGCATGTGAGTGGTGAATAACGCGTAAAACACGCGATGTGGTTTATGTGGTAAGGGGTGATTTGTCCGGTGTAAATCGCGAAGTGTTTTCGATTCACTTCACATCGCATTTTTTCACATGGAGTAAAATTCGCGCCACTTCACGTAAGACGGATCGTGAAGCTCCATTGTATTCCTGGTTGTAGATTTGGTTAAGTTAGGGAGAGTTCATGGCATGTGTTAGAAAATCAGTTTCGGAGAAATATGTGTGTTCGTTTTCCTAAGCCCAGCTTTGGAGTCTTCGCGCTGGTTGTGGGAGTTTATATACGAATTCGGGTAGAAGTGTGAAGAAATTTATTACAATTTTTGTCGGAATTGTTTCTCATTTTTCTATTCAACATATATGCATATTTTTCAGTAGTTGTAGTTTATAAATTAACGTGAAACTCTCATTTTTGAAAAAGTTACGCTTGCACGCCTATTCCTCCTCTCTAGACGACAAGTGCTGTGAGTATCCTTTTCTTTCAACAGGTTATGTTGCTGGCGGGCTCGTCAGTTCCTGGCTCGGTATTGTCGTTGGTTTGTACTGCTATCGCATCGAGTCCACCACTGCATAACTACGCCGTCCACAAGTTGTATTTCGCGATGTTGGTAGTACTCGGGAGACGATTGACAATTTTTGGAGTTTTACGCGTTTTACGTGATCGGTGAAAAACGCGATATTCGCGGTGATATGCAGTAGTCGTGAAATATGTTTTTCATATCACTAGGGTGAAACTCCTTTTTTTGTATTCAGGAAACACTCGGTCAGTCCAAGCCGCAGAGATTAGCATCTAAAACTAGCGACTCACTGGTGAGAACAATATCGATCGCTTGATCGATTTGCTGCTGTTCAGGTGGAGGCAGCCTTGTGGGCAATTGGAGAGTATGGCGATCTGTTGGTTGATGCGAAGGGTGTGATGGGAGCTGATGGGAAGGAAATTGATATTACTAATGAGGATGTTATTGATCTTATCGAATTTGTAAGGATTTTCAGGATCTACGAGCGTCTGGGTAGTTGATTGTATAAATGTGAAATACTCATTTTGAATGTTCTGGAATTTTTGGGGTGTTTTTGACTTCATTATGGATTGACCAACACGGTCGAAAAGAAGTCAAGTAAGAGCAAAGTAACAAATAGTAGACTCATACGTCCGACGATAACAAGTAGCTCGGCTCCTCCGCTTGTGCATGCGTGCAAAGTTATGGAGCATCACGCATGCGATGGTACTCGCGTGCACACGATTGAGCATGCTAGTCAACAGTACTTTGAGTTGATCACTGAAGTTTCACGTGTTTAACGTGAAGTGGTGTAATACTACTACTGGAAAATTTAAGACGTGTATGTTTTCGCGAGCGATAACATAGTTATATTCCCCGAAGTGAATTGTGAAATATGTTCTGCACTAGTGTTTTACATATCACTAGGATGAAACTTCAGCGATGAGTTGTGCGTGGCTGTGTAGTAAGAGTAAGATTTGTCTTCACAGTGTTGGAGTAGAAATATATGGTTGCTTTCCTCAGCTGAGCTCAAAAGTTTTATCACTATATTATGAAAATTCACACACGAATTCGGGTAGAAGTTTACAGAAACCAATAAGGATTTTCCAAAATTTGCTCGGAATTTTCATATTGTCACCAACACATATAGTTGACCATGTGCATATTTTCCCACACACTGGATTTTCATTTCTTGTGTTAGATCACTCAAAAGGCATCATCGTCCATGGTGAGCGAAATTGGTTCTATAGGGACCATCAGGATGGGCGGCGCCGCTAAGGGGGATAATGCTCAGAATGCTGACCAAGGCCCGATCGTGATATGCGAGTAAGTTGCGACTCGTTTAACGTTAAGTGGCGTAAAACTCGATATTCGCGGTGATATGCAGTAGTCGGAAATAAGTTTTTTTCACTAGTGTTTTTTCATATCACTAGTGTGGTGAAATTTACAGGGGAATTCCCTGGAAGTTTTTCACAAGTCCGTATTGATCATATCTTAGTTGTTATTCGATTGAGAAATGCACAGTAGAGACTTTGTAGAAAATGGTACGGTCGTCAGCCGTATTGTCATGGGGATAGAGTTGGTATATATATAGTGGAGTTTCACCTTAGTGATATGAAAAACATATTCCAAGACTACTGCATATCACCGCGAAAATCGCGTTTTTCACCGAGTTTTGCACCACTTTACGTAAAACGGGTCGTGAAACTCGAGTGACGATGCTCGTCTTGAATTTTCTGACATGTTTTTTCGCGAAAAAGTTTCAATGCTGAAAGTCCATGTATGAGATTTCAAATGGTTTCCAGCAGCGTGTGGGGGATTTTTGAGTAGTGTGGAAGAATATGAACATGGTCAGCTATATGTGTTGGTGGCAATTTCTAAAATTTGGTGAAAATTTCCGAAAATTTTTGTTGATTTCTGCGTATTTCTACCTGAGTTCGTACGAATAACAAGAATTTCCCTAAATTTTGATATTGTCACCAACACATGTAGTTGACCATGTGCATATTTTCTCTCACACTACTGTATTATGAAAATTCGCAGGCGAATTCGGGTAGAAGTGTACAGAAACCAATAGGCATTCCAAAGTTTCTCAGGGTTTTCATATCGTCATCAACACATGTAGTTGACCATATGCATATTTCCCCATCCTGTTTTTGATTGTGTTCAGTCTGCGTTGCTCTAGATACGCTCTTTCCTGTGTGGTGAAGTTGTTGAGTAGATTGGATCTGTCTTCAGCAGAAAGGGCTAGACTG